TTTTGCCTGGTGCGGCAAAAAAGCCAGAGCCGGCCCTGATGGAAGCATTGCTAGTTAGACACGAAGAGATCTGAGTCTTCAGATGCCTGGTCAGTCTGAGACATTAGAGTAAATTTGCAGGCCCAGTTATCAGAGCCTCTTCTCCACTCCATGATCTAAATGCAGGGGCTAGAAGGTGGGTAGGGGAGAGGAGATAGCAATATCTGCATAAGAAAGATCCTGCCAATGAAAAAAGAAACGTTTGCTATAACAAGTATCCTTACAAAGCTATGCAACCGGAGTGACTGGTGCATTTAATTACTCACCCCTGTCTGTCTAGACGTAGCTTATTTTGCAGATTTCTTAAGGGGTCGGGGGAGTGCATAATGATCACATTTGGTATTTGATTTCTCGGTCTTGATGCAGGTTTATAATTGCTATCAGCATGCGCAGGAATGGGGCTTTGGATCCTATCATTAAATATTTTAGCCTTACGGTAACTCTGGCACATTTTGAGTCGCAGAAAAAACCTGTTCTTCAGTGTGTGGATAGGAGCTGCCCTCTCCATCCCCAGGAAAGAGATTAAGGCCAACACATTCCAAAGTGACAAGAGTTGTTGAGTGCTCATCTAGAGACCCCTTAAAGGAGCCTGATTTTTCAGGGGATGGGTGCTCGGCACTGTCTGAAAACTAGGCCCCTTTCAGGTGTCTCAAATGGAATCACCCAAGGTCACTAGTCACTTCTGAAACTCTTGGTCTGATTGCCTGAGCCATTTGGGCTGAGCACCCATTGGCTTGTTGATGTAAGCCTGGGCAAACGCAGGGTTTAGAAAGGGGACAGAAAGGGGAAATGAGAAGAGCATTAATTTGTACCTGGAGGACTTTGAGGGCTTTGGGATGGTATAGCATGTTTAAGCAGAGTATGACTTGTCTAACCCGTGCCTCAGGCTCTGCACCGGAATCTGATGGGAAAACTGTCCACTTAGTCCACACATGCTTAGACAAGTCAAAGGGTTTATTTATTTTCCTCCTTTCTCTGCTATTCTGGCTGCAGAGTGATCCCTCTCTGCTGGGGGAAAAGAATGAAAGCATTCGCTCTGTCTCTGCAGTCTTTCAAGGGGCACACTCAGCAATTGATCCGATCATTTTGTGTCTCCTGACTATGGGTCCACAGAGCCAGCGAATTGTGTCAAAAACAGTCCAACACATTCTGGTGGATTATAGAAAAAAACCTCCAGGATGAGAAAGGGCTCTGAGATTTTTTCCTTCTTTTATCTAGCTGCTTGGAGAAGTTCGGGGTCTTGCCTTCAGACTTTAGAGGTGGGCAGAGGCACACAACTGGTTGGGATGACATTATCCACCAAACCGGTATTTGAGGAGGGATATTGCACTGGTAGAAAACACTGATGCTAGAATCTTACAGTTAATTGTACCAGTGGGGAGTTGCACAGCTTTTGAATAGGGCATGAGGGAAGGATCATGGATACTTGCTGTAAATATCAGATTATGGACTGTCTACCTATTTTAGTGTTTTATATTGCCACCTATCACCGTGGTATCTGAGCATTATCTAATGGGCTGATTGATTAATGGCCACGGCTTTCATACGTTAATAAAGTAGGGCCTGAATCTTCTCTCACGTATTCTGGTTTTACACAGTTGTAACTCCACTGCATTTTTTGGAGCTACTTCTGATTTACACTGGTAAAAGCGAGAGGCAAATCAGACCCTTAGAATTATGTGTGATTTACGGATTATAATTAGGGCCTTCATTTACATATTCATGTTGGTCCTACTGGAACCACTGAATTTTTGGGGCATTGTTTAACTTGTTTGCCTCAGTTCCTTTGCAGGAGTGACTCTTAATTCTGTCTCCATGTTTATGCCTTTGATTCTGCATATATCAGAGGAGTAAGATAACTATACAGCATGGGTCTCAAAGTCACGGCCCATGGGCCATCTGCGGCCCGAGAACCTCCCCACTGCGGCCCCCGGAGGAGAGACGCATGCAGCCACGCTGCTAGCTCTGTCTGCTGCACGTGTCGCCCCCCCCGCCCCCGCAGCTCCCATTGGCTGGGGGAGAGGGACAGAGACACCATCACTAGTCGCCGGGCAGAGTCAGCCATGGAGGCAGTATCATTAGTTGCTGGGCAGAGTCAGCCATGGAGGCAACATCACTTTTTTCCACAATGAATATAAACAAGTCAAAATACCGAACACAACTATCTGATGCACACCTTGCTGCAATCCTGAAGGTTTCAACTGCTCAGTCACTGAGGCCAAACATCAACAAACTGACAGAACTGAAGCGTTGCCAGGTGTCTGGCAAACACTAAAAGCTCTCTGGCAGGCGAAGAATTGTATAAAGTTGAATGACACTTTTATTGTTTCTAAGAAATTTGAAATAAACAATACAATATAAACGTTTTCTTTTCTGAACACCATCTTCAGTGACATTATTGGCCCTCTGGGAGGATTTGAGGACTGGCACTGGCCCTAAGGTAAATTGGGTTTGAGACCCCTACTGTACAGGAACATTTGGGTTTAGGGATGGATTTCCTAAGGGGATCGCCATTGGTTCATTAAATGCTAATTGGTTGACCCCCACCCCCACTGAGCACCCTTTTTATTTTGTCTGATCCGGAATCATTTCTAAAGGCCAAGAACTGGTCCAGTTGAAGTCAATGGCACTATTCCTCCTTGTCTTCAGCATGGACAGGATTTAACATTTCCAGGGAAACGAGCTCACTCTTTCTTGGGAGTTTGTCCTCTAGGAATATTGATACAAGAAAGAAAATAGAAAAGACAAAGATGAAACTAATTAGACCCAATACTGTTTGTGTTCCCCACTGGGCCATACACCACCACCTTTTATGAAGCATAAGGATTTCTGTCTTTGGCAAAGTATACAAGAGGAGAAGAAAGTGTTTACAAAATGTCAGAGTGTTTAATTTTTCATCAGTGAAGCTAAGAAATGTGTGATTTGTGCTAAAATTTCCTTTGCTGTGAGTCTTTTGCTTTCACATTATTATTTAGTAACAGTAATAATTATTGATTTATTTGCATTCCGACCAAGATTGGGGGCCTACTGTTCTAGGCACTGCACATATATAGAGAAAGAAACAATCCCTGGCCAGAATTTACAAGCTAAATAGATAGATGGACACAGGGCAGGAGAAATGAAGTAGCATTATCCACATTTCACAGATGGGGAGCTGAGGCATGGAGAGATTGTGATTTTACCCCCGGCCATGTAGGATGTCTGCCATAGAGCAGGGAACTGAACCTGACTCCCAGTCTGATACCTTCACAAGATGATCCTTCTTATATTGTTTGCATCGTTCCAGGATCTGGTACTAAGGCCACCTTTGTATCAGGTTCTGAGCACCCGCAGCTTCCGCTGGCTTCAAGAGAAAGCATATTTGCTTGCCTAGGGTTCCTGCATTCAGTTCTCTGCTCTGCCACAGACTTCCTTCATGACCCTGGGCAAGTCACTTAGCCTCTCTGAGCCTCAGTTCCCTGTCTGTGCATCAGCAGTACTGGCAGTATTGGGAGGATAAATGGGTTAAAGATTGTGAGGTGCTGTGATACTGCAGTAATGGACATATAAGTATTGTAGATAGATGTAGGGTTAAGCCCCAAAAGAGAGGGAGTTGATTAGCTTGAGGCCCTGATGCTGATCTCACTTATCCTAGCGTAAATACTGCCAAGCTCCACTGATGTCAATAAAGTTACATCAGCCTAAAAATAGGTGCAAGTGGGAAGTGGATCAGACCCTCAGAGTTACATTTGGGAAAGAGTTAACTTGGATTTGAACTGTCTCTCTGTCTTAACTTGTCGTAATTTTATGGCCGTTGTTTTGGGGAGAGAGAAGGGGGAACTGGCATAAATTAAAGAGTGATGAGCTCATTTAAAACAGAACTGGGCCCATTAGAATTCCAGCTGCTGAAAATTTGCACAGCTGGATTTTTGCTGAAGAACAGGCCCCTCATCCGTGTCCTTCTGCTGGGCTAAAAAATGTCCACTTAAAATTTGTAATGAAACTTTTTTTCTCTATATGTATTTTACAGCCAAGCCAATATTCTCCCAATGACAGTCCAAAAGGTGAAGTCCCACTCTGTCCGTTGGCTGTGCACAGTGGAACAGGAAATGGCACAGATATGGTTGTCCCACTGTCCTTTCTATCAGTCCCCTATAGAGGCTGGAAAAGCTGTGTTTGGAGAGTGAAAGACCAGGCCTGGACTCAGTAGCTGGGAATGCTTTGATGGTCTCCCTCTTAGCTCTTCAGGGAAAAAAGTTGGTTAACAGTTTCAGTAATTCGAAGGGTTGAATGCAGAGGGCTAGATTCTGACTTAAGGTGGAGCCCTGAACAAACGGTGTGGTGTAAGTTGCACCACTGTGGGAAAAGACCCAGGGGATGTCATGCCTCAGAGACACCACTTGGATTTCAAGCCTGCTTCCTCCTCACTCCTTGGGGACAGTAGTTTGGGCAAGGGATTTCAAGATTCATCACATTTCCATGGGACTTCCGTGCCTAACTCCCTTAGGCTTCTTTGAAAATGCCAACCCTATTACTCAGTAAAGTACTACCCATCTCATCCTGAGGTGTTTCAGTACTCAGCCCAGGGAGGAGGGAGTTACTGCCAAGACTCCAGCTGTTCGCCAGCCACTGCCTGCCCATCTGATCTGGGGAGGGAACTAGCAACTACATAGCCTGCTTATTCCTTCATGCGCAGACCCAAGGTCTGGGTAATCCACATAGTAGTTCAAGAGGGCATCTTACTCACAAGTCCAAGCCACAAGATAGCTCAGAAAAAGGAATAGGTTAAATAAAGAGAAGGGACTAACGTCTTCATGAGTCACATGACTGACCCGGACAATTGTTTGTTTTTTCTGTGGTGTCTTCTTAGAATTGGATTTCGAGTCCCCTGGCTGCACAAACGGTTGGAACACAGGGCGTTTTGGAAGAGCAAGATGGAGCTGTATAAAGCTAGTGCAGAAGGAGCAGAGACTGGGGAAAGGACCCAGTGCGACCTTTTGTCAACCAGTCCCCTAGCAAGGGGTCTGGCTGGTTCAGGAGGTCAATAATTTCACACCTCAGCTTCTGGTTCAAAGCCAGCCCAGCAGAGGATATATTCAGTTATGTTGAAAGAAGGATTAAGCAGCCTCGTAAATATTGATAGTTGAATGAAATATGCCACATCCTTTTAGAAATTATGTTAACCTTTTGAGCATGTATGGAAGGGAAATCCCTGTTTACCCACACATTGTGGCTCAAATGAGTACGTTACAAAGGATCCCAATTCCAAGACGAAGATGATGTCTGAAATAACCACTATCTTCCCCTCATAGACTAGTTCAAAGTTGGCCTTGTGGCTTTACAGCTGTCTAGTTTCCTCCAAGCATTAGTGCATGGGCTCATCTTTAATCAAGAATGTATTGAAACCCGTAATTTAAGGAACTAAAAACCATCCAAACCAACTCTGTTGGGGAAAGTCTGAAAAGATGAAATGTTCTTGGGGGAGGGGAGGGGAGCGGAGGTTGGGTGTAGATTACGAGGCACATTTTCGTAATATTTAGTATGTCATCTTCAAATAATGTTTACAAACCTCAAAACTCTGGGGAAGTTTGTAGGCTTTAGCAAACAGATGTTAGTAGTCAAGAAAGAATTATGACTCTTGCCTGAAAATATTTCCTCCTGCTTATCAATGACATGCAAGATTTTCAAGATACCCTCTTTATGGAGTTGGAGACCTGCTTTTCCTGCAGGGCTGTGAATCAACAGATAAAAATAAGCGTAGAGAGTCCTTGTTAACTGGTCATGAAGGCAGCACGTCATTTTGTGGTCCACTGATTGTGTGTGTGTGTGTAACCAGCACTGTGAGGCTTTGTCCCCATCTGATAGCTGGGACTACATAAAGATGTTTATGAGCCTGCTGCTGCCTCCTGGCTATGCTCTGAACTCATGATCCAAAGGTCCTGAATGCAACCCGTGCAGAAGACCCACAAAGGGATTTTTTACATGTGCATCCAGCCCCTTCTCTCACGCACTCTTGTGGAAATTGGGGTAGGCAGTGGTTCATGCTGAGCAGTCCCTTCATAGGCCCTGCTGAGGGAAAGTGACCTCCCAGAATCACCTGGAGAGACAAAGCCACCCGGCTCCAGCCGCCTAGTAGGAGAGAGGGTGGGCTACTTCGCACCCCTTGGAGACAATGAAAGGAAAAGCAGAATGCATGTTTGGGGGTGGGGGCAGGGTTGCAGTGGAGCAAAGAGGGGAATACAAATGTTCTCTCTGCTTGCAAACCATTTGTGAAGATGTGCTGATGTTCATGGATACAACAGAAGCCAAAGTGGCTCTGAGTTGGGGGTGGGCTCTGGATTCTGTGCAAACTGTTTGTGCAGTATCTAATTCTAAGTAGACCCTATAAGCAAAACAACAACAAAAAACATTGACATGTGTTCCTTTAGCTTGGTAGCTGGCATCCAAGCAGAGAAGCCAAGGACTAAATGGGCATGGACAGTCAATACCCTCTCACTGGTAAAGGAAGTTCATCCAGAACAAGGTTCTGGTGCATCTGCAGAGTGATTCCAGAGAAGCAAGCATTTCCATTGTCCATTGCTCTGCGGATATGTTAGTGCTGTCAATCTAGGAACCTCCCATGTGCATTCAACTTGCTTCTAAAAAAGTGAACAAGGTTGGTAGACCCCACCTGGATCGTCTCTTGTGTTGGGCCTCCTGGGACGTAACCCCACAAAGCATTGGGCATCTCTTGGGAGACAGTGAGTTGGACAGTCCCTACATTTGAGCCCCCAGTATATTTGACACAGGTACGGGGTGAGCTGTGTTAGATCTCTTGAAAAGAGCTAGGACCATTGCAAAGCCATCAGATAATAACGAATTGGGGCTATTATCTTCAGGCCCAAAACACCAAGGTGCTGAGTCCCTCCAGGAGGGAGTAGGAAGGCTGTGGTCTTGACTAGCTTCTGCTCTTCCCTATTTCTCAGCTTTGAACATAGCAGCTAACATTTTGCCCCAGTTTGTCATATAATATAAGCCTGTCACTGGCTTCTACTGTAGCTTGTGGCCATTCCATCTTGCCTGTATAATCTACCATGGTGGTGTGCCCCCTTCTGATGTCTAGATTTATGTCTGCTATTGTCACCACCCTAACGGGGCTGCTCCTTTAGCTCGTGCAGCTGAGGTTCCAGCTTTGAGATCGAGAAGTTACCAGTTTCAATCCCGGCAGATGACTCAGTCAAAGGGGTTGATTTTTACACCTGCAGCGCTGACTTCTAAGCCTTGCTGCTTTACCCTATTGGTGAAGTGTAAGCACAAAGAGAGGGATGATGATGGCCACATAAAGAGGGGATTGCTTTCCTATCTTTTTATCTTTTATGTAAACTGTGGTTATACTACTCACCAAGGCATTTGGGTATGTCCCTGACCCACTCCTTTTCTCACTGGCTCCTTGCCTCTCCTTCTCTTGCCTCTCCCTGGTGGCGCTGCTGGTGGTCTAATGTGTGCTAAGCAGATGTTTTCCTCACATGTTTGCATGGTTATTTTACAATGGCTTCATGCAACAGATGTTACCTTGCAGTCACATTCTTTGCATGGGCAGCGGACTGCTTAGCTTCTGCCCCTGTAGATCTAGAGAAGCAACTACTCACACCGCTATTGCCAGGTTTCCTTTCAGCACGCTTGGCAACGGTGTGCGGCGCACTCCTGCTTACACCCCATCCCTTCCCCCCGATTTATAGATGTTAGCTGAT